CCGTCGCCCGCTCTCGCTGGCCGGCCGCTGCTTTCTGGCAGTCGAGTAAGCGAAGCGGTTGGCCGCCTCGAAGTGAAAAGGCAGCCGGGGAACGGTGGCTCCTTTAGGATCTGCTGTATGCATGTGGGAGGTCTTCGTGTCGCGCTGCTTTCCGCGGTGTTCAGGAACAGAGGTTTCGGTGTCCCGCTAGGAAAGAGGAAAGCTCTTTCAGTGCCAGAAGTTACTCTTCCCTCCTCACTCCCTCCAAAAGAACCCCTTAGGTCTCAGAGCTGGTCAGTCTACAAAGTTGGGCTCACATAAAGCACTACGTGAAACTTGTGCACTGTAGGAACAACTCATCTCCTGAGTCATTTGGGTGAGATCATAAGTTGGTCCTTTCTGACCTTAAAAATCCATGCATTCACTTATTCTTAGAATGAAAAAAGTCTCCCCATCCTTTTGGAGATGGAGGAGGAAATTGGCAGCCTGTGTCACATGGGTATTAGACCAATAAAAGAAGCTTGTAATTCAGCGCTCCTCATAGGCTTAATCCATTCAAATGTCATTTTTATCTGATGCTGGTACATGACAGTAGAATGTTATGTGTGGAATACACTCATTGCTTCAAAACTTCCCTGCTACACTGAAGTCCCAGGGTAGGAAACAATGTGCAGTTGCTTCTGTGGGGGTTTCTTTTTGTTTCTTAAAGCATGTCATGTTATTGTAGATACTTCATTTGAACCTTCTGTTGCACTGGCAAGTCTTGTGCAGCATATACCATTACAGATGATTACAGTACTCATCAGGAGCCTTACTACAGATCCAAACGTGAAAGATGCAAGCATGACTCAAGCTCTGTGCAGGTACTGGCCTTTACTGGAAAGGGGGAAGAGTCTGTTTTGTTGTTCTTGCCTTTTATGAAGTTATTTGTCACTTAGGTCTGTTTAAAAACAACAGTAACAACCACCTTTTAAAATGGCATTCTAAATGATGGTGTTTGGCATGTTAGGCTGAAATATTTCTGATGCTACAGCTGTTACCCGCCAGGTTTCGGTTTAAGGTTGCTGCCTTCATCGCTAATGTGGCTTCTTTCTCATGCTTTACTAGGGCAGAATGAAGAAGAGGACTAAATAGACACTTAGAGGAAACTAGCTGGGTTCCTGTCAGATCTCACGTGATGTTTAGATCTCCCACTTTGTGGGTGACACCTTAAACTAGGAAACATCGTTGGATTTATGATTGAGCTGGACACAAAGCCCTGTTCAGAAAAATCAATCCTTCTGCTTTTCCAAGAAGCAGAGTGGCTCACTCGCATGCTTGTCCCACCCATCATCATTATCTCCTCTGAAGAGAGAAGACAGCATTTTACTGATTTCTGCTTAGATATTTTTGACTCTTCAGTAGGATTCACAGGGGACTACCTCTCTTTCCATCTTCACTCAAGCCTCCAAAAGTTTGTTGGACGTTCTTGGAGTGTTAGAAGAAAGAGGAATGATATAAAAACAGTTGCATATCATGCTTCCTGTCACTAATCTAAACATTAGTGAACATCAAGAGTAATGTTGTTAAGAGACTGATTCAGGATTGCAAACTTGGTTATTATCTTAAGAAGTGTGGATAACACCAGACTTAGAAAAGTGACAATTGGAGAGACGCTCAGATCTTCTTGAAGTTTTTGGAATGTCGTCCCCCCCGCCCTAAGATCTGCAGAAAAAGCTCTTAGCACAAAAGGAGAGGAAAAAAGAGGAACACAGTTAAATAGGAGGCTTTTAGAAATCTGTCTTGTTTAGAAAGAAGTGCTTTTTTAACTGGAAAAAAAGTTTGCTGAATTATTTTCAAAGTATTCTTGTTTTTGAACTGCCTTCATGTGAGTGTAGTTAGGGGATATCTTAATGTAGTACTGACTCTTTTTTCTCACTGAAAACACTCATCTCATTTGCAGGAAATTGGAAAGCTGTATTTCATTTGAAAATATAATATTAATACTTCTCTTTAATTGTAGCGTATTATTTCAAGACCTGAGAAGAATCTGCTTGACTGAGCATATTTCAGCTAGTTTGTGTGCCCAGTCTAAAAAAATTCAGAGCCGGGAAGTTCAGGTGGATTTGTGCATAGTAATAACTTGCCAGTAATGTGCTAGTGGCTCAACTTTCATTTTAGTATAACTTTTAATATTTATGTTTACTATCTGCTTCAGCACAGTGTGATGGTATAATTGTAGTTTTAGAATGGCTTCTCTGTATGCCTCTGAAAGTAAGGCAGTGCTGAGCTTTGGGTATAACAGGAGCTGCTATCTTCAAATAAAAGCTGCCTCTTAATACTAGCTGTGGGGTGGGTTTTTTCCTCTCCTTTTGGGAAGGGCTGTGCAGTCTTACACGCCTTATGTCATTCAGTCTTTGAAGTGATGCGTGATTTGAAGAGCCTCTAGTTCTACTCCATGGAACTAACTTTTTAGTTACCTCTTGGTGTTTTTTTTTTTTTTTTGTGGATACTTTCTTGTCGATGCTTTATCCAATTTCTTTTCTGCTTTTTCTACCTCTGGCCATCGTAGCAATAATTGCTCGTTCTCTTCTAGCTTTCTTATCATAAAGATGATAATGCCACTGGAATGTTTGGAGCACCACATAACAATGTTGTCATTGGGTTTGCATCATCCCCATGAGAGGCAGAGGTCAAGGTATCACAAGGCCTCGTGTTGAGAGTCACCAGAGCTTTGGAAACTGCAAATTAGAGGCCTCGTTACCTGGTTCCTAAGGATAACTTTCATGACATTGCAGAGCTTTCTAAAATTGAGCACGGATGAGTAAATCACTAGTTTAATAAATTGAATCTATTCAGCAGGGGGTTATATTATGCACAGGGTTGGTGTGAAAAGGGTACTTTTAAGCATCAGTGAGCTAATGCTGATTGCCTCAGCTGCCTCATGAAACCTTACCAGAAGCATCAGTGAAGAAAAGCAGAAAGCTTGAATTTCTCCTGGGTCTTGTGACTGCTTTGAGGGTTAACTTTAGAGGTCTCGGAGGAAGTGGGTTGCTTGCATTCAGTATTGTAATGAGTATTGGCATTCTGACCAAGTATCTTTGGTAAGGGAAACTGAAAATTTTGCTAAGAGAAACTCCAAACATGACCAGGCCCTTTGCCCTGTGGGTGAAGATATAAATAGATGTTAACTGGTGGGGGGGCATACCTAGTAGTCTGAAGGTTTTTTTATCTGAGGGATTTGTACCTGAGCTGTTAGGGTCTTTGTCTGACATGGCTAAGAAGAATTTCTACAAAATAAGTTTTTGTCTGAGGAAGTACAGATACAATTTTACTCTATCCAGAGATATGAGGAATTTTGTCCTTGGTTAGGCACGTATATGGGTAGCAGATCTGTTTGTCTTAGGGTGAAAGGAAGCTGCAGGTCTTCTTGGGGTCTTTAAGATTCTCTGAAACTGGTCAAACACAAAAGCATTCCCTTTGTTTTTAACATAGGGCATGATGATCATCTGTAATCTCTGCGTATTAAAAATGCAGTCGTTGATGACAGCAGAACAGGAGTTGAGCAAATAACTTGAAATGCAGAGAGGATCTAGTAGCTGAAATGTCCCAGTCTTCATCTGCCAGATCTCAGATTTGATGCCTCTTAGGATAGCCTTGAGAGTGCCCTGCAAATTCACCTCTGTTTACTCCACTGACTTTTCTACTTTTAAAAGCATCACCTGTACTTTTAAGAGCACAAATGGATTTGAGTATGGGAATTGTATATGTGTATCAATGCTATGGAGAATGAAACTTCTCCTTACAGTGCTAAACATACTGAAATGATAGCTGTTATCCTATTATTGACAATGTTGAGTTGTCTGAAAGAAACTATGAAGTTGCACAATGATGTTTAGCATTCTCCTACAGTTGCAAATCCAAACATTAAAAAGAGCTGTCCGCTTAAAGCAGTTTCATTCTATTTCTACTTGTTCCTTTTTGCTGCTGATAGCTGAAAACACAGTACTAAACATAAAGGCTCCACGTGTATAGTCTGAGGCAAGCTGCGTCCATGCAGCGTCTGCATTTGTCAGTACATTTCATGTTTTACTAAATAGGGTAGAAGCCTGTTAACTGAGGACAGTTAAAGACAATCCTAGTTATTGGTGAGTAAAGTTCTTGGGGAAAAAAATAAAGCCTAAATTTCCTGTTTTAGCTGGCACTGCGTTATGATACCATCTGTGTCTTAGAATTTTACCAATATGCCTGTCTGCCTTAATTATCAGCTTAAGCTATGTGCTAATTCAGGATGGAAGGACTTTCTTTACAAACCCTTTTTTCTGTGGTTCGTCTTTCACTATGTTTTACAAGGCACTCCTTTTTTTTTTTTTTTTTTTTCCCCCCCTTGGCTGTATTGAGATTCTTCTCTTTGGGGCACATGAAAACCACAGGGTGCTGATAGTATTAGATTTTTGTAACACCCGCTACAATATGTGTGTGCTAACCTGTAAGGCTATCATAGAAAAATTACTAGATTTTTGCCTTTTTAATGGAGAGTATTTTTCCAGGGATATACATAAACTTAATAGAGATTCAATTTTGATCTGGTTTGTAGTGTAAGCTGTAGGAGAAGGGGTTCCCAGGTACATGCGCTTTGTTTTGTCTTCACTAGTAAGTTTTTGCCACAAAACGAAAATGTATTAGCTTAATATCTGCAAAAACTGGATTAATGTTCTTAGATGATAAGAACATCTGATATTTAAGTATGTATGCTTACATATTTCAGTTTTTCTATTTACTTCCAATATATTAAATATATAATTGTTAATTATGTAGCTAAGTGAGATAAGATATAATCAAAATGATCTTAATGCTTTTCTAACATCCTTGCATTACTTTTTGTGAGTCTCTATGTAAGCAGTAGTTTAACTATTTGGGTAAGATGTATAGAATATTTTTTGTTGAGGTCAAGATAAATGGCATGTTATTATATATTTTTTTCCTTTTTGATTAATCTTTCAGAATGATTGACTGGTTGTCCTGGCCTCTGGCTCAGCATGTGGAAACATGGGTGATTGCACTGCTGAAAGGACTAGCCGCAGTCCAGAAATTTACCATCCTCATTGATGTCACTCTGCTTAAGATTGAATTGGTATGTCTGAAAAGAATATTTGAGATGGAGAGGAGGGAAGAGGGATTTGCAACAACTATGCAGTTGTGTGAACTCTTTTGTACTACAATATATTTACCTCATTATCCAGCATAGAAGGGTCAAAAATGTCTTACAGCTTTCAGTTTTATGTAATGATTCTGTCAGATTCAAATGGATCTGGATTTGGAATCTGTTTACCTTTTTATTAGAATTTCACTTTCTAGAATTTTTTGTTTTCCTTTTTTAGGTCTTTAATCGACTTTGGTTTCCTCTAGTGAGGCCTGGTGCCCTTGCTGTCCTTTCGCACATGTTACTTAGTTTCCAGCATTCTCCAGAGGCTTTTCATTTGGTAAGTTACTAAATAAATTGTTTTCAGTTCTTTGAAATGTGTTTGATGTGTAATTTCTAAAGTGGGTCTAAAGAGAAATAAAGGTGATGCACTTAGATTTCATGTTTGTTTCAAGGTTCCAGAATCAGATTTCTGTGGTTCACAGACCATTAGACTTTCTAACTTCCAGGTTCAGCCACGTAACCTGTAACTTGAAACAATGCCTTGTTCTTCTTGGTATGTACATAATTGTAGCAGTAGTATCTGGGGACCACAGTCCCATCTTTGACCACATACCTCTGGAAAGGCATTTTAGGTGGTGTGAAGTCTACAACTGAAATTGGGCTGTAGCTGGAATTTCAAGGAAAACTAACTGAGGAAAACTGATAACCAGTTATATCGTCTGTTACGTATTGCCCAGTCATTCTGAATAGGTGCATGAGACAAAGGAGTACTTCGCTTTGAAAGGTACACTATCTATGTTTTAACGTACAAATTGACAAACTGAAGAGTGCTATTTTTTATGGCCGCTCTTCAAAATGCAGTTCTAGATGCTAAATAGTTCTAAATTCAAAATGCAGTTTGTACATAACTAGGGTATCGTGATGATTCTTTAAATTAGTACAACAAGATGTATATAACACCTTCCCTGTTCTCAAACTCAGTGTTTAGATCTAAGTTACTTTTAGGTGGAATATGGATCTTTCAGACTTATCTGTAATAACAGCTTGACACACTGTTCCTCGAAGTTGCCTCAAAGGTTATTAGGCTTGAAGGGTTCTTAAATCATTTGCTTTGATTAATGTCAGAGTAATTGCCTTATGCCTGATTACAATGTTTTTTGATTTTTGTTATTTTTTAAATGACAGAAGTCTAGAGGTTCTCTGTCCTCCCTCTGCTTCCCCGATCTTGGCCTAGGATAGAAAACTGAATCACAAAGGAAATAGCCAAGTAGCCTTGAATATGCTCAAAATGTAAATATTTCATGTATTTACTCTCTTGCTTTTCTTCCCTATTCCTAAAAGAGACAAAACATTCATGTGAAAAATGTCAAATATGAGAACGACAGAAAATTTATTACACAAATAGGCATTTGCTTTCACAAGGAAAAAAAATCTATGATAGGCTGTGTGCAGTGTTGCCTAAACATCTGTCTTCAAAGCTTCATCATGACTGTTTTCCCTCTGTTTTAAAAAACCTTCTTCACTATCATTTTTGGGAATTACTGCTTTAATTTAGTTTCTTCTCTATCATATTCTCCTGTGCTTAAGCTACTTGTGTATTTTGTTATAATAAGCAGTCTAAATGTAGAATGGATAAATAGATATTTTGGTAATATAACTGAATTTATTTTGCAGTGTAACTAAGTCATCTTCATTCCTTATGCTTGAGTATCTTTACATGAATTACACTGTTACAAAGATAAGATGTTCTGTCTTGCACTTACAATGTTTAACTACCACAGTGTTGGTATATTAGAGTTCTGTGAAATTCTAAATTCTTTTGAAGTACAACATTTTAGTTCAGCCTCAGCTAAATGTGATATTTCTGTATACAAAGTGTAACTTTATCTTTTATGTAGTAGACTGTAAGAAAGAATTTGGCTCTTAATTTGAGAGAGCTGACCGCTTGTACTTTTTCTACTTGTCTGTCTACTCATGCTGGGTCTGTGCAAAGTTATCACCTCTTAGATCTGCTTTATACAGTTCTCGTTCCTGGAACTCAATAGTTCAGAAGAAAATACACTCATTGCTGTGTCCTCACTTTTGTAGAGTGAAAGGAGTCATTTAAATCACAGCTTTCACTATTGGCTCTGTAACACATTGAGGACTTGGGAATCTGGTATTTTCACTTTTAAACAATGGGCATCTTGCTAACCAAAAGAATAGGTTTTGTTTCTCTGGGATACAAAAACATTCCTTATACTTACAGCAAAACCAATATTTGAAGAAGTAGCGAGTGAGTATTTTTGAAGTGTATTAATGCTTGTCATAGGCATATGTTTCTAAAATTATGGTATCCTTATTTCTGATATATAGTTCATTTATTTATTACAGGAGAATTTGTGAGCTAACTTATGAGAAATGATTCCATCCATTTCTTCCAAAGTTAATATGTTTTAATCACTTAAACTGAAAAAGGCGTCTAAAGTATTTTCATTCACACTGAGAAGTCCCTACTCTTATGGCTTGCATTGGAATAACTCGGTATTTTTAAGACTAATATAAGTAAGTCTTATGCTGAAAAAAATTTAAAAATTACATTGCAAATAAATAGAGAAAATTGTATTGCAAAAAAATCGGAGAAGGGGGAAGAGGTTGGGTCAACATTACTACTTTAAACTGGACATAAAGCAAATGAATTGGCATAATCCCCAGATGATTCCACACCGTTCCTGTTTGTGTCTTTTTTGTTTAATTCAGAGAAAATTGCCGTCTTAGATGGCAGCCCTCACTAGGTGGAGCTCTGAGCCAGTTTGTCTCCTAAACTGAAATAGGATGAATATATTCATTAGCGGTGGCACAGAAGTGAAGCGTTTGCAGTAATAACTCCAATAAGATGTGTACCTTAGACACTTGAGTGCTTAAAATTTTAACATTCAGTTTCTAAGTTCATAAAGTTCCAGAAGTTTATGGGCTGTTTGAAAGTTGTCATGGGTAAAGAATAATGCATGCTTTCTTGCCGTCTCTGTTCTCAACCATCTCTTATATGAGAATAAGAAGTTCCCTGTCATTTGATATATGGAAAACAGTAAAGTTGTTGGTAGAAGAACAAAATTGGAGAAATGCAGTTGCTGTGTAACTCCCTTTTTTTTTTTTTCCTCCCCGTCTAGATTGTCCCACATGTGGTTGGTTTGGTTCACTCCTTCAAAAGAGATGGGTTACCTTCCAGTACAGCTTTTTTGATGCAGCTGACTGAGTTGATTCACTGTATGATGTATCATTATTCAGGATTTCCAGAGCTCTATGAACCCATTCTGGAAGCTATTAAGGTATAATAAGAATGCGAAGGCGGTGGGATTTTTTTGGTTCGTTTTGCTTTACGGATACGAAAGCTAGAATCCCATAGACCTGTGTTCTTTAGAACTTGCACTAGCAGAGCTAACCACATAATCTAATGTCAATTCTGTATTTGGAATATGCCAGAAGAACTGTCCTGAGTGTATTTCAGGAATCGTTACATTTGCTACATGAGATGATTATAGCAGGCTTTAAGAAAAGCCTGAATGACATCTTTCCTTAAAAACCTAATCTAATTTCTTCTGTTTTATGGAACTATGCATATATTTCTGCTAGTTTCTTTTTTCTAGCCATTTCATTTCAACCAACACTGGAAATTAACTTTTCAAAGTTGTTGTCTGTCCTGTTTGATGCAGCAAAATGAAGCAGTGGTTATTCAGACAGAAAAAGGCCCTAGATGCTTTTTTTCTGTGATCTTGCAGATAGTATATCTCCTGTTGAGTGATTTTTGGCTTATTATATTCATATCTTGCATTTCATCATTTGTTGTACTGAATGCTAGCAAACTCCTGAGTGACATAAATACTCCCAGCAATTTTTTATTCTGTGTCACTGTTATGATCCAGCTTCTTATTTAAGCTTGGAGCATTGATAGCATTGAAAAAAGATTAGCTGATGTTCTGCGGAGAACTCTGAATGATGTAACACAGAGTACGATATCTCTTAAACGCACAGAAACGTGTTGAACTCTTAAGATGGTGTCTAAGAGAACATGGCAAGTGTTAGTGGAAAGAAAGTAGGTAATGTGGGTAGAATAAGAAGGAGGGATTACGAAATCCTTAAAAGGTAAGGATTTTCTTTGCACCTTTTGGAGCTAGTTGAAGGGCAAGAAGAGAATATGGTCTAAAATATGGTCATTTGTCTAGCTCCAAAAGCCAAAAAAGCAGTGCATCTTAATACTGAAGTGAGTATTGCATGCTTCTATGGGTGACTACTCATATTGGCCTATACAAAATTCTGCATTTTTTTCCAAAGAGATTAATTTTAAAATGCATAATACATGTTTTAAAAATACTCAGATAAAACTGCCTGTTTTCATAGCAGGGATATTGCAGTTAGATGTTTTGAGGCTTAAAAGAAAAACCTCATCTATTTCATTCTGAGTGTTTCCAAGTATTTTGGACTTTATTCTTGTTGTTCTTACATTTTGATTTGACAGAGAAGAAACGTCTTTATAGCAGAAGAGAGGATGCTCTCAGGGTCTATTAATGCATTACATTTGAGAGTCGTTTTTTGGTGGCAAAAAGGATTGCATGAATACACAGATCAAGGTGATCACGAACCCCTTCTATAATTTGAGAGTTGACAGAATCGGCCTTGAAAAAGAGTGTGTGCGTGCGTGTGTGTGTGGTTTTCCCCCCCCACCCCTGGCCATAGTACATTGCGTTAGCCGTTGACTGGCCGGGCGTTTGTGCCCTGGTTATTTTCAAAGGCACTTGTGACATGTATCTTCTAGGCTAGCAGGGACAGCAAGAGCCTGAAGGAGAATGCGAGATGGCAGAGCAAGGGAGGATATAAAAGACTGCTGGATGGAAGTACCTATTATAAAAACAAATACAAAAACCTATTAAGTGTGTTAATGTTTCTCTTGTAGGAACTGCCCAAACCCAATGAAGAGAAGATTAAGTTGATTCTCAGTCAAAGTGCCTGGACTTCTCAATCCAGTTCTTTGCCATCTTGTTTGTCTAGACTTTCTGGAAAATCTGAAACTGGGAAGACTGGCCTAATTAATCTAGGAAATACTTGTTACATGAACAGTGTTATTCAGGCACTTTTTATGGCTACAGAGTAAGTCCTTTTTGCCAGCTGTTTTTATTGCAAATTAACTATTGCAGTAGTCTTGCTTTTCACAGAAGGTAAACAAAACATGTCCTGGGTCACTTAGCTTCCTAGCAAAACTTCGTAGGGTTTCTTGGCACGTAGTTACTGATTGCTTTGTTAAAATCCAGCTCTATGGAACTGCAATTTTAGCCATAAGAAGTTTTGATCCTTTCTGTCCAGAGTGAAGAGATGCATGCATTGAACTAATGATTGCCTTTTAACGCTGAAAGTTTGATTTCTTCAGTGTCTAAAGCTTCAATAGCATGTCTGTCTTCTAGGTCCCAGGCAAGTCTTTCTTTCCCTCATTGCTCCCTATAAACATTAACAGTGATGCTTTTGTAATCTGGAAGCTGTTGAAAAACAAACAAAAACCTTCTGTCCGTAGTCCCTTCTTTTGAATGTTTAAAGAAGAAATGTTTCTGCAATGTTAGTTCCTACTGTAAAGTAGTTTTGCACTTCTGCCCTAGAGCAGAATCCAGGCGTTGAAGGGAACTGAAATGTTTTGCTCTCCATCAACTTAAAGTAATTGTATTGGAATGATACTGCATTGTTGTTAGAAATCTATCAGGGGAAACTAATGTCCATGTCTTTTCAGTTTCAGGAGACACGTTTTATCTCTGAATCTAAATGGATGCAATTCACTAATGAGAAAGTTACAGCATCTTTTTGCATTTTTGGCTCATACCCAGGTATTTCAGTTTATTGCACCTGACTCAATATGTAAGCTGATACATATATGACGCTTCTGTTTTCTGCGATTAATACCAATACACCCATCGAAAAGGGCATGAGATGGTTCACCTTAAAAGTAAATCGGTACTAATAAAATATAGGTGTTTTTCCAAAGAAAGCATTTTAAGCTTGCCAGTAAGAACAGTAACAGCTACTAGGCATAATGTATGGCTTATGCTCGCTGCGCATTTAATATTTGCTGGCAGGATCCACAAAATTAATAGCTAATATCTATCATTCTTCTCCTATTCTTAAGTAGGAGTTTAAATGTTTGCATGTACCTTATGTCCCGTACAGTTTCTTTAGAATAATGTAGTTCAAAGTTCAGCTGTCAATATCAAGATAATATAAGCAATTTTTAAAGTAAAGTTGATGTGATATTGTCTGTTTATCCCTCACCCTAACAGAGGGAGGCATATGCTCCTAGAATTTTCTTTGAGGCGTCCAGACCACCGTGGTTTACTCCTCGATCTCAGCAGGATTGCTCAGAATATCTCCGGTTCCTGCTAGACAGGTACAGTTATGATGTTACTGGAACAGATTCACAGTCTTACCAAACTTTTAATTAGGAGCAGTTAACTAACAATTCCATTGTATGAGTGGGATTCAGGAATTCTAGGCCTGGCTCCTGACCATCTCTTATTTTCTGTATGGTCTGTGAACCACTCTTTTTTTTTTTTTTTGGTCCATTTTAATCTGTGGTAAAACCTGGACACCTACTTGTCTCAGTATCGTCCAAGGCAGGTTATAATGGTAATATTCCATTTTACAAACTTATACTTGGATGTTGGTTATGTTAGAGTCATGGTCCCATTGTGAAATTCATGTGGTTGCTGAAAACAGTTCAGTCAGGCATCTGGAATTTCATGTTGGTGTAGACACCTGTATTTCATACAGGTCAGGTAAGTCATGGAGAGACGCATGTGTTTATAGCCGGTTTAATATAAGATAAAATGCCAAAAATTATTAGTAGACCTCTTAATTTCAGCTTGCTGAGCATTTTGCTGAGACTTAGCTTAAGCAATATTGCTTTATGACACATTCTGCTTCTGGAAAAGTTTATCTCAGTAGTGAAATAGTGTCTTTTTTATCCGATATCCCCCTTCTTTTTTGTTTTGTTTGGTTTTTTTTCTTGATGTAGATTTAAGGTTCTTGGCTATAAAATTCTGACTTTTCCTTTTCCAAGGAAATGGTCTGGCGCAATGTAAATAGCTGCTTGTTCTCGTACGAAATCTGATGTACGGAACCAGTCAATTGGAGAACTGATTGTTAAGATAATATAAGGATATATAACAGAAGTGTTGTTTGTTAGTTGTTTTAAATACTTAAGGTTGCTCACAGTATTTCCATTGTGTTCTGTTATAGATAATGAAAGCCATGTAGAATGCCTGTGTGCTTCACCCATATGGTCTTTTGGATAGTACTGAACTATGAAGTTCAAATTGCTTACGTAAAAAATAACAAATCTCTCTTCTTTATGAAAGAAACTTCTAGCTGCTTAAACATCTATATACTTCAGTATAACTAGAAAAAAATCAAGTGGTGCAACAGTATTTATTTGGAAAATAGTACAGCTATTCGGATTTCTTTCTCTTTGTCTTCAGGCTGCATGAAGAAGAGAGAACCTTGAGAGCATTGTCATCAGCAAAGACTGCTGAAAGTGTAATGAATCAAGAGTCCCAGACACCAGAAATTGTCTATAAAGCCCAGCTGTTTGCTGAAGCACCTTGTACAGGAAGTGAAGAGAGAACTTTGATAGAGAAAATGTTTGGAGGAAAACTCAAGACTAGTATTTGCTGTTTAAACTGCAAAAGTACTTCTCAAAAGGAAGAAGCTTTCACAGATCTCTCTCTGGCTTTCTGTCCTCCAACTTCCTTGCAGAATCTTGGCCCAAAATGTATGGAACATTCTGAAATGAAAGACGATTATGTGGTGCAAAGTAGTATTTTAGCATCCAGTGCTGCTGAAGAAACAGCTCTTGGTAATTTGGAAGTAAATGGTGGATGTGACACAATTATGAATGAAGGAACCATAAACAATTTTTCTACTGAGCCAAACTCTGAGAATACTACAAATTCTGAACTCAACAAAGTGCAAGATAATAGGGATATATCTCAGAGACTAGTAGGTAAAAATACTCCATCAGTCACAGACTTACTGAATTATTTTCTGGCACCCGAGATCCTCAGTGGAGACAACAAGTATTATTGTGAAAAGTGTGCCTCTCTACAGAACGCTGAGAAAACTATGCAAATCATTGAGGAACCTGAATACCTCATTCTCACTCTTCTGAGATTTTCCTATGATCCAAAGTGTCATATAAGGCGCAAAATTTTGGACAATGTGTCTCTGCCACTTGTTTTGGAACTGCCAGTCAAAAGAGCAACATCCCCTCTGGCTGTAGTTTCAGGAGCTTGGTCTGTTGATGTTGAGATTTCTGATATTGGAGAAAATCTTGCTAAAAAACTGAAGCCCTCAGGTGCTGATGAAGTGACCTGCCCACAGCTGGTGCCCTACATGTTAAGCTCTGTGGTAGTGCACTCTGGTGTATCCTCTGAAAGTGGACATTACTATTCTTATGCTAGAAATGTAACTGGTTCAGGGCCCTCAGGACTTTGCCCCCAGTCTAAAGCTCTGTCTTTAGTTTCTCCGCAGAATAACTTGTTGGCAGAGGAGAGTCCTTGTACTGTTGTAGAAAATGAGTTAGACACTGAGATGCCAAAAGAATGGTTTCTGTTCAATGACAGCAGAGTGACATTTACCTCATTTCAGTCAGTCCAGAAAATTACCAGTAGATTTCCAAAGGATACTGCTTATGTTCTGTTTTACAAAAAACAGAGTAACACCTGTGGCTTCAGCACCAATTCAGCAAACGGACTCTGGGTGAATGGAGACCCTCCCCTACAAAAAGATCTCATGGATGCAATTACAAAAGATAACAAACTATACTTGCAGGTAAGATGGGAATAGTATGTGAAGCGTGGCCTCCTTTAAACTGGAAGAGACAGTTTAAAAAAGAAAAATGTAGTTTTTTAAATGTTTCAGTATATTAATCTTGCAAATCACAAATCCTGCTTCCCTTTTGGTCATGCTAGACAGGTTCCATAGTAAGGTTAATCATAGCTGTTACTGTTAGATGGGAAGCGTAAGAGAAATATGGTTGAAACTTCGGTCTATTTAAAAAAATTTTTTTTAAGTGGAGATGCTCAAGTTGGTCCTTTGACCAGTTGAAAAGCCTGTTCTGCATAGAATTATAAACTGCTAGTTTTCTCTTCCATTGCTTTTCCTAAATTTAGCTAGAAGTAGCTGAAGTATATTAAATACTTCTTAGCAGCGTTCTCGTCAGCTCGTTTTAACTTGCGAGTGACATTTGTAAAACTGTGATAGAATTGCTGAAGTTTAAGACCAGGTGCTAGAGTCGGCTTTTCCGTCCCTGCCTGTGCTGGCTTCCTCCTTGGGCTAGTGTTGCCAGCCTCACATCCCCTGGGCTTCCTGAGAATACTGCTGTTTACCTAGGTGCAGTCACCTCTTAGACTGCTGATACAAAGGACATGGCTCTCCACCTTAAAATATGGTTTGTTTTGAGCCTTGCTGCTGTGTTCAGGCTGTGTAACAATGAAGTTGTGTTTTACTGAATGTTTTTGATGGGTTAAGCTGTTCCTGTAAGAGTTCCAGAGTTTAGGCATACTCAAATTGGAAAAGATAGAACTAAGTACAAATTCGAAAAGAACAGCTAAATCCTGCTGTGAAAATCTCTTATGATAGCTGCAGGTATTTCACGGATGTAGAGAACTGCGTTTAAATTGCAACTTGTTTTCTGCTATTTACAAACTTTGTGGTTAAAGCATTTATGTCCTAACCATCTTTTTTTTATATGCCACCTCTCCTCTGTACTGTACAGGGTAGTAAAAAAAAAAAAAAAAAAGAAAAAGGTGTCTTTAACAGCAATCTCTAACTGTAACATTTTGCAGTCAGAATTGCTGTGACTTCCATAAACATGTGAATGCTTTAATTGCCGAGTTACAAACTTTAAGCAAACTTTTTTAAAATTTTAGGTATGTCATTGCAACAGCATCTAGGCAGTTGAATGCTTAAAGAAAACTAATTTTAAGAGTATGAAATAGAAAAAAGTAGTATAACAGCTTCTGTGATATTGTAAACTTTTTTTAATATAAAGCCAAACATTGAACAGAGGAGCAGTGTTATCCATACAGAATATGAAGTGCAGTAACTACTCCTGGTTGTATATTTTTCCTGTTGAATCCTGTTCTTGTAGTCACATATGCTAATGTTATCAACAGGGTAGGTGAGTGTTTGAAATCTGAAGTGTTAGCTTTATGGAGTGCCATAAAGCTCATTATCAGGATGCTGAGAAAAGAATCATCAGTTAAGTAGAGTTATTCTGAAATATGGTTTGCTGAATTAACTTTTTAAAGACCAATTTGGGTCAATTTTTGGAATACAGTAGAAAGTTAATTATCTAGGCTTTTTTGAATATTGCTATACACCTGGAACTAGTGAAAACTCAATATGATTTTAAAAAACTGAGTCATATGGTGAATATATACCAAGAAGTCACTTCTTGATAATGTCCCAAACTAAAACTTTCTCTACAGACTATTTAGCCAAAATTATATAAAGCACATAAAATCAGTTTCTTTGATAGCTTACAAGTGAAAGCCAAGTTAGTAGTTTTCTTGAAAACTTTTCCCTTACAGTTTAAAAACAACAACAAAAATACCCACAAGCAAATATAATCTCCTTAAAAGGAAAAAAAAAACTATTCTCAAAGCAAATTTTTTCACTTACCATATTTTTTAATTTTTCTGGGATTATCTGATATTGTTCTCTTCCATATTGGTACTGATGAGATCCTGTCCTTATCTTAAATGACTGCTTAGAAATGCTCAATTATCCCCTTTCTCCCATTTATTCCAATACTGTGATTTACTGAATTAGGTTTTTGTGAACACTTTATTATTGTCTAAACTATCTTTTTTACTTACGTTAACATATCTTTCTGTCCTGAGAAAGCCTTTAATTTTTAAGAGAAATTTAAAGTCAATTGCTCTTATTTTACTACTGTATACCCATTTACCATATGGTAAACTAAAATATTTTCATTTTAAATATAACTTGAAATGTGGGTAGTTTTTACTTCCGTTAAAACAAATTAAAAATCATATTTTGGGAGCAAGTGGAAAGCGGGGGGTAATGCTCCCCATTTTTTTTCAGTCCAGCGAGCTGCACTGACTGTCAAGTTTTACTGATCTTATCTGGAGTATTTGTCAGGAGATAAGTGTAAGCCACTTAAACATTCAGTGTTTCCCTTGTATAAAAACAAGGATACTTTTTGTAAAATGGCACTGTTGCATGTTATACCAGAACCACTTAATACAGGTTAATATTAAGAGAATGTTGCCTTGAGAGAAGAAAATGTGCTCTTTTAGCAGAAAATGCTGAACAGGAATGAAATATGGGAAATCAAAACCTACTAAGCAATTGCATTTTTAGCATTGAAGACACTAGGGTATTTTTTCTAAACACTTATATTCTGTCAAGAGGTGTTGATAACTGATAATTTGCCTTTTTTCCTGTATTTCTCTTTTGTGTGCGCACATACATTGTGTATATATAGTATCTTCTAATTATTATACTAAATGTTTTGCACACGGTAGCAGTGAAGCTAAGATCATGAGGGAGGCTTGTCCTATTCTCAGTGCATTATGGCTGCTACTAAACAGTATGTTTTAAGTAGTTGCTAAAGCTGTATTTACAACTCATTTACGTTCTGTACTGTATATGATGCGCTCATGTGATGGCTCCAGAGCTCTAGGAGAGTCATCCATTGTATGTAAATTGTGGAAGATCCTGTGGTGTTGCTGTTCATAGTAGTGCTTCTCAGGAAGCGCTCCTTGTGTTTCCTCTTGGTAAGGAAGCCTAGTCATAACTGAACTACCTTACTGTTACTTACAGTATTGTTAAAGATACTGAATATAAAACATAAATGGAATAACTAGGTGTATTACCTGTGCCAAACACTCATGTGGTAAAACAAATCAACATGTATCAATGTTTCTAGCTGAACTGGGCAAAAAATTCTTAGGTGTGCTCTTTTTGGCTACAGTTTTTAGACTTTTTTTTTAATATAGAGTAATCTGCAAACTTACTCCTGACACTTGCATTCTTTTGTAATATAGTTTGCTAGGTAAAACTCAACCGCTGAAGTTGAAAAGGCCTGCGGTTGCTAGAAAACAGTTCTCTAGAGGGAAAGAAGTAGGGGTGGTAGTAAGGAAGGCTCCATTTTTCATTTGATTCTTTGCTATATTAAAACAAACACTTTCTAAAATATTAAAAAAAAAAAGATGAGGTATCATATAGTGATTCTTCCACTCTACTGTTTTTGAGAATAAATTCTGTTCTAAGCTAAAAACCTTTGCACCATAGTTTTTCAACTAAACAATGTATTTACACAAAAAATTATGTTGGATTCTGGTACTATAAGCAAGTTCTTCATATTCCTTTGGTATCTCTGGTAAATCTAGTCTTTGACATGTCTTTTAGTTAACAGATACATTACATAAGGATTCACATATTGCTGCAGATGGCATAATACACTTCTTTCAGGGACATGGCCAGTGTACCTGCATAGGCAGTGTCCTCCAAATATGCATGTATTTTTTTTATTTTAGAGTCAAGTATGCAGTTCAGTGCTTAGAGTTATATAACTTCAGACTTTGGCTATGTTCTTTTAAGAAGCTAGAGTAATTTAAACCCACAAGTAATATTTTTAGCACATGTGAAAGTACATTGGACAGGACTAAGTCTAGGGATGTCATTGTAGAGTAACACAAGCAATCTTCCAGTTTCTGTCCATGTTCCTTGCTTTCACCAGGAGGTGGAGAAGAAAAGGAACAACTCAGGGCAACCTATGTAGTAGTTGCTAAATCCCAGTTAACGCTTCCTCCCCTTGCCTTTAGGAGGTATGCAGTGACTAACAGTCATGTGAAGAAGGGTGTCAGTATGATCCTTAGCACCTAAATACTTTTTGATTTTCTTTTCTAAAGAAAGGACGCTTGTGCAGTTCTGCTTTCTGTCTTCCCTCCCTTAACTTTTGAACTTGTTGGCCAATTTGAGACGGGAGTATTTGAAAATTACTGTAAGGCTTGTGAAATTGCCTAGTCAGAAAGAAAATAGTGTACCATATGTGTATGATACACATAGTGTATCCCCTATCCCATGAGAAGAAAGCCAGCATTCTTCCCTTTATTAGACATCTAAGAAGCTGTAGAGGAGAGGGAAATTGGCAGGAGGCTGTGCTTCCTTGCTTCTGCTACTCGGAGGTACTTTCTCCTTGGGCTTTCTAGCAGCTGGTTCCAATTTTTATGGAGTATTTGAGACTTCCTGAGCCTTACTAATGTTAAAACAGTGTTAGCATAGCAATAACACTGGAATGTTAACGGGCAATAATGAAGGGAAACTAAATAGCTTGTTCACCTTTTTGCCTTTTATCTGAGTGTGTTGTTACCCTATGCAGTTGTTTCAGTAAAATAAAATAGTGGCTTTTAAATAACTAACATTGGTTCAGTGGTCTTGCCTTTTGGTTTGACTACCAAGAAAAAGGGCATCCTAAAAAATATTAGGATGAAATTTCATGTGACGCTTATATCAAAATCTAATGTTTCATTAGCTTTTGCTCAATAATCTAATCCTTTAGTAATATCACATGTTGCTATGAAACACAGTTTCAGCATAAATTTAAAACAGATTTTAATTATGATTCACATATACACCTTCTGACTTTGGGTAAAGCTGTACATCTCAGACAGGCTGTGGATGTTGAGTTTGACCTGAAGTTCAACAAAGGAGCCGTTCTGATGTAAGAGTCCAGAAGCTAGTGATGTTGCTTTTAAGGCTGTTTTTAAATTTACTGGAAGTAAGCTGTTTTTAGGACTTGGGATTTTTTCTTATTGTCTGTATTCTTTAATTTCAGGAGCAAGAGCTTAGTGCTCGAACACAGGCACTTCAAGCTGCCTCAGCCTCATGCTCTTTCCGACCCAATGGATTTGATGACAACGATCCCCCGGGAAGTTGTGGGCCGACAGGTGGAGGGGGCGGCGGGGGGTTCAGTACTGTTGGTAGATTGGTCTTTTGACTCTGAAGACAACCTGGAATACACTGGTTCCGAAGCAGCTTGTTACTGCTGAGGACAATTAAAATATTGAACTTTGTCAAATATTGTACCATGTTTTGAGACTTGATCCTTGTTCAATAACAAATGTTGGGGGGGTTGGATTTTTTTGTTTTATTTGAAATAAATAAGTGCATCATGGAAAAAAACTACCTCTTAAAAATTCAGTTGCTTTTATAGTAAGATACACTTGCCCAAAAGAGAGAAATGAAGATTTTTGAGTAGTTTCTAATGACACTGCATTAAATTAAACAAATGCACTTACATCAGTTTGTATCATCCCTATCCACTGAATGAAGACAGCTCATTTATTTGCTCTGACAGTGTTGCTTTGTGTGGAAATCCTTTCAGGTGGGCTGAAATGACATTCATAGTCTCCTACTCCATTTTTTAAATCTGGTACCTTTAAGGATTTCCAGAGATGATGCAATCTTATAATGAAGGCAATAACTTAAAATGTGACACGGAACTGCTTTCCAGAATAAAAAATATTCAAATTCAATATATTTCCAGTATAAATGTAAAGAACAAAAAATAATTTATAAATGTTTGCAAATCATTTTCCAAAAAAATGCATGTTCTGTAGGAGCAATGTTTTTAAATAGAAATTGTTAACTTTGTAGCATTTTTAATTGTTTTGAGGATTTTAAAATGATTTCAGGGAGTACATCTGTTGTGTATTGAAAGGAAGAGATTCTGTATGTGCCTTGCAGTACTGTAACTTAAACCTTTTGAGGCTGCAGAAAGGAGGAAACTGTTAGTAATCAATTTTGTGTTGTCAGTGTTAGGAATCAATACATTTTTGGAAAGCTAGCAGGTTTCCAGAAGTAAAACCTGGTAGTTGTCCATTATTTTTGATTCAAATAAATAAATCTAGTGATCTATAACCTACCTGGCCTGCTTTGCTAAGAAAAAAAGCTGGTCATAGGTACTAAGCCATATTTGCAAAAAGACAAATAGGCTACCTGTATTGATTCTAGCTGAGGATCTATGCTCTTAAGTCCTTTGAAGTTCTTGCATAAAAATCCTCATTCAAGACCAGTGAGTTAAGCACCATGTTGCTTGTATGCCTTCTGATTTTGCTTGTAGTGAGAAACTTATGGTGTGTTCAACTGTTAACCATCTCTGGAAGATCAAAATGATCTTGTCTATGGAGCAATGTTTGCTTGTTTATTAAGCTGACAGGTTTTAGTCTTGGCAGAAATAGAAACTTCGTGTTTTGTAAGTGCAATGATGATAACAAGTAAAGGAGTTACACTGTTGAATCTAGCGATTAATCTTTAACTTGAATATCATCTTCTAGTGAAGTGTAACTTTATTTAAAGTATTTTTACAAAGTCCTCCACTGTTTTGGTGTGTTTTTTAAATATTGCTAAGTGGCAAAGTGCATCCTTACAAAGCATGCAAACCATAGCTTCACGGTGCAAAATAAAGAGATTTCTCAGAAAATTCCTTTAAAATGCAGAAAACGGGTTGAGAAAATGTAACCTTGTTCATATGGTATCAAATACATGGACTATAGTCTGAAAAGTAACTTAGCTTTAGAATTGTTTTTACATTAATACTTAAGCTATGTGATTTGCTTTGCTTGTATGTTCAGACCTTTTTACTGCTCAAGAAAGTTAGAACAGCTTTTCCTTTCTTCTTGTTTTTCTCACTCTTTTATTTTTATCGCTTCCCAACTTTGTTTTGACAGTTCATAGTACCTTGACCTATGCTTTCATTGCCTTTTCAGTTCTAGGTCTCTGAATCAGATGTTCAGCTGTGGAAATTTGGAATCTTAGGAGACTAGCATGAAGAACAATCTCATGTCATTTGCTTGGATGAGGTCTTTTTGAAAGCTCACTTTGCCTTGAGATTCTGTAATTTTCAGAGTAAGATGGGGTTTTTTTTATTTCTTTTGGGGCTTCTCTGCCAGATAACTCTGGTTTTAAAATGTTTTTATGGTAAGTTTTATTTGGCTTTTCTTCCCAAGTTATGGGAAGAACGCACCAAAAAGCAGTCTAGTTCTTGCATTGTAATGGGAATATTTTGTTTCTCTGTATCACTTTAGTGTTCATTTTAAAACACCAAAAGTAGAAGGAGGAGGAACTGTTTTTACTCTATATGAAATCACAATTTTTGTAAAGGTCAGTTTTGTTTTTCTGTTTGCGCAGTAAAAATACAAATTATGTAGCCTACCAAAAAAAAATAACTTGCGGTATGAGTTTGTATACCTCTTGTGCTATACCTATTTTGTGAGCTTTTAGAAAGCTTTCTGCACCCTTGTTTGCTTGTTCTAAATTTGGTATTAAATATGGAAATTTTATATCAGGGTAATGCCAATAGGGTTGGATCTAGTTAAGTGTAAAATGAAGGTATGTCTCAGACTGAAAATATCTTGTTGTTTTTTTCCCTTGTTGACTTCTGTTGACCCAGTTATTTTGGGTGGAATACCTATTTGCAAGCCTGCCAGCTGACTTGAAAACCATTGTAAACAGATTCATGCTTGAGGTGGAAATGTTTACTAAAGCCAGTGAAAGCAGAGGAGTAATCACACTCAAAATGTACCCTTTCTTTCATCATTTCACATGAAATAGTAATGGTATTGCATGTTCCTGTCTTCTGGACCTAGTCAGTATCAGTGGGGGATCGATGTACATATCATACTTCAATTTCTGCCACCTGTGAATGAATGTTGTATGGTTGGTTTTTGTTTGACCTTTCTGGCTCCATTCTCAGTTTGTTTTCCATCTATCTTGAATCAGTAGGAAGATACAAAATACATTACACCGTTTCTGAAGCTTAACATTTTTCTTGTGTTATTTCATGAAGATATGCAATTGTACCAAACTCAAGGATGATAAGTTCTTTAAAATCATATTTCATTTTAACAAGATGTGCTCTGCTTTGCCCTTTGTTTTAAGGGTCTGTGGAGTTCTCTTAACTTTCTTCCATATAATGGATTTTGTACAATTATATGTGGAGCGTTGCAGCGGATTACTATGAACATATGCATAACAAATGTTAACAATACCTCCAAGCCCATTTATTGTGTATAATGAGAGAAAAGGCTTCTTTGGACAAGCAAAAAAAAAAGCAATGTAATTACAACTTCTGGCTAGCTCTTATTTCTTCCTTTTTTCCTTCTTCCATACCCTATAAAGTTAATCTTTATCTTCTGTATTATCTGAAAGTTTAGTTCCGTGATTAAGCCTTTTTTCGCTCTCTACCAGTGAGATTATTTATAGAGAAAGTACTATTTCTGTTCACAAATGGTAGGTGAAGGGCAGAAGCACTGTGAGCTAAATGTTCAGTATTAGAACAAAAGCAAGTGGGTATAAACTTTCATAAGTAATATTTATATCAGAAATTAAGTTCCTAATTACTAGGACTGTCTAACTCTGGAACAGCCTTCCAGGCAAGGAAGGAAGAGCCAAGCATATCGGTCAAAGAAATTAAATGCAAAGTGGTGTCTGAATAGATACCAACTAGACTTGATAAACCAGAGGTCCCTTCCAGTCCCTTCCTAGGGCTTTGCCCCTTTGTTGGGCTTACTGTCCTGACACATAAGCAGTTTTGTTTTTAAGGCTCAAAGATTTGTATTTCCTTCATGTATTTTCTCTAAAGCGTGGTATAACAACAACAAAAAGGTTGACTGCTAAACGATTGGTGTTCTTGGTTTCTGGTTTAGTGGAGTGAGGCATAAAAATGGGAAGTGGAAAGTAGGCAGACCTCTGGTCAAGAGAGTTGTGCTGTTTCTAATGTGACAGTGATTACCCTGGTAACAAACTGCTAAGGGATGTAATGGATTGCAGCACTTGATATCCTCAGCTGGTTGCAATCAAACTTAATTGGACTTTTCACTGGGTGAAACAAATGATCATAAACGAGGTCGGAGTAGATGATTTTAAAAGCTTTCATGTTCTTCACAGCCAGTCATCATAAGTCTACCTAAATCTAAGCTCATAGCTAGAGTAATCTTAAATCACACAGGTGGCAGGTCAAATATCATAGGTGAGATCTAAAAAATATGTGAACTGTTTGTGGATTGTGTACAGCACCAAATTCTGTGTGAATTTCAAAAATAGCAAATATCCCTGTTCCAGCAAGCAGTTGCCGAGGGACTTGGCCCTGGAGTTTGAGCTCTGGCTATGGTCAGAATGCTATCTGCCATATGTAGTATGGTATTGGTTACATATGGCTGTTATTTTTTCATGTGCATACATACCTCCATTCACTGGGTGTCTTGCTTTTTCTTGAAGGGAAGTATCAATGTCAAAGGGCAAACAAACAAAACTAGCCAGAGTGAAGCAGTGGTGATAAAGGAAATCTTTTAAATACAGCCTGCTTCTTTCTTACTCTAAAACAAAAATATTTTTCAAAGTCTGTTGGTTTCTAGGCAAGCACATGGGTTCAGGATACACATTTCTTGTTCCTCTTCTTCCAGTGCGAGTGATATGACCTAGTCAATTTTTAGAAATCAGTTGTGAAAGTACTGGAATAGGCATGTCAAAACACACAGACAACAAACTATCATGGGCGGTGGAACGGTGGCCTGGCTGCTGGGTGTTTGTCCTAGAGTGGAAGGAGCAACTGCCTGCTGTGAACTGTGCCTTGCTGGGAGGCCATTAGGGACCCTCAGCATCATCTGTGAGTGGCTAGAGGTGGCTGGTGCTGGGGCACGGCCTCGGCCTGTGCTTTAGAGGCTGCTGTGCCCAGACTGGGCAGCACTAGCTGTGGGGGTGGCTGCAGGAGGAGTCAGAGGTGCAGCAGCACCTGCTGCATTGTAGCCAGCAGCTCCCACTGTTCAGGTACTAGCTCAAGTGGGGCTGTACGACATCCCATCGCCTGCCCCCCTCAGTGATGCCCCCTGGGGCAGAGCAAGTAATTTGGGGCCCCTTGCAGCGCTGGCAGAGACCTGCACCCATGGCAAGAGGCACACAGAAGCAGTGGGGCTGCGCAGGAGTTGGCATGGAGAATGTGGGGGCAGGGAGCAGCGAAGGAGAGGTGCCAGTGCAAGACTGGGCAAGACTACTGCACTGCGAAAAGGAAAGGATGGCTCTAATCAAATTTAGCAGATGTATATATTTTGATGATAACTTCAAGTGTCTCCATTGCAAAACTAACTTCAGTGTAACTATGTTCACCAAAGCATAGATATTCTGCCAGC